CAAAAATATCTTTAATAATTCATTAGTAAAGTAATGCAAAAAAATTATTACTTCAAAAATATCTTTAATAATTCATTAGTAAAGTAATGCAAAAAAATTATTACTACAAAAATATCTTTATGTTATCAGAAAAGCGCCTCTTAGAAGAACTGTAGCCCAAATGAAAGCAAAAATTTGATGATGGTCAGAGAGAGGGAGAGAGAGAGAGAGAGAGAGAGAGAGAAATTTGAAATTTTACTTTAATTCCCGGTATTTCTTATGAATCTTAAGTTTTGCTTTCTTATTGATTGCCGCATGATATTGTATTTTATTTAGAGAACGTCCTCATTCCGATTCAACCGAATTACTGTTGGGAAAAAGATTAGAACGTGGCTTACGTATCCGTTGTTGTGAAATTGCAGAAGAGCAAAGAAGTGATATTGTTGGATTGTCATCATCATCATCATATCAGTCATCAACTGTTAAACATAATCATCCTGTTATCAGACAGGTTTGACTAATTCACCGCTTACATTTATATATAAAATCAAATAGATGAATTTTTAGAAATATAAAATTTAAAAATATAGATTGCTATCATCTTAGATTTAACAAATTTTTGAAGTTTGAAAAAAATTCTGGTGAAGAAATTTTAAATAGCAATTATAATTGTCAGTATTACAGAAAACTATACCAACACAATTACTTGAATGTGATCCAAGACGAGCTTCAAGTACTGAACTTGAACGTGGTCGTTTCAAATTTGGTATTAGTAGGTTACGTGGTAATTTTTTTTAATCATTTATTGTTTTTATAGTTATACTTAGTGTTATTTCACGGTATATTCAATATGTGGAAAAAAATTATTTATTACTCTATTTATAATTGAAAACTATAAAAAAAAACCAATTAATTACATTTTTAAATAGTTCAGAGACAGTGTACAATCTGTCATTTCTTTTGTGCTAGAATTTTTTTTTTAAGTTATCACATCTAAAAATGAAAAACGTTAGAAAAAGAATAGAATTTTTAACGAGAAATTTTGTCAGAGCGTACAAGTGGACGCGAATCACGACGAAATCGTTACCGCGAAGAGGAAATCATTCATAAAGGTATTGATCGGATTGATGCGGAACGACAACTTTGTAATCAAGATATAGGCGCATTTTTGATTCGGGTTCGAGATAACGGTACCCTAGCGTTATCAATAAGAGCCAATAAAGGCGTGCTACATATTAAACTTGAGGTTTCATTCTGTTTTGTCATATTTTGGATTGGAAAAAAAAAAAACTTTTTCAAATTAAAAAAAAGCTTCAAATATGATGTAAGACAATAAGCTAAATAGTTCTTCTAAATGAAATATTAAGTTAAACAATTCTTCAATACACAATCTCTCGGTCTAATTTTTTTTTGAATACTTCTTGTTGATTTATTATTCAAAAAATATGATATAGATGTTCTAATTCTGATACTACGGTTTACTCTGATTTCCGAGGAGGGAAATTAGTGAGATTCAATTATGAATTTCAGTATGATGTAAGGGAGATATTTATGCTCCCTTTATTCGATAGAAACAAACAAAATAGTGAAGTAGTAAAGTAGAATGGACAATGGTAATTCCGTTAAAATAATTGCTTCTAAAGAATAGGATATATAGAATTAAAAGATTTCGAGTCTTACGTTCATTCTCATAACTAATGTGAAATTGTGTGCTTGTTACTGTTTAATGATTGTTACTAATTTGCTATCCTTGTCAATTAATTTTTCATTAATGATTACACAAATAATTGTAAATTTAGCTTCGGGAAAATCGCTGGATACTTGGTGAAGGGCCAACGTTTGGTTCAATTGCAAGTATTATCAGTTTTTATCGCTGTCACGAATTACCGATCCGTGGAGCGGATCGAATGTTACTTAACAAGCCGGTACTTGTTACTACTAACACTACTCATTCATAGCTATAATTGTGGAAACCGTACCCGTGAATCTAACATTTCTTTTCTTTTTTTTAATATCTTTAAATGTTTTTTAAATTATCATATTTTTTTTATTGTATATTATTTAGCTTCCAAATGTCTTTTCGATATGATGATAACCTTTGCACTTTTCGAATTGAATTACATGAATAAACTGTGAAGAGTGAAATTGTTTCCGCTGCTATCGTTATTAGTGTTGTTGTTGCACTTGCATAGCAAAAGGATTGGAAATAAAGTACCGAAAAACCCAAATACTAAAATACCAAGCAATCCCCACCGTAGTCGGGCATGGATTGGCCACTCCCCATTGTCCCATTCCCTCCACTGCTATCGCTTACTTTCAAATAAAGTTATTTTTTCGGGAGTTCGGTCCTCAATTGCAGCTTAAAAGTGTAGCGATTTTGTGGATTTATTTGGTGACATTTGTCAATTTATTTGATGTCAAAAAGCGAAATTGAAAGAGAAGAAAAGCGGAGAAGGATGAGTTGACGCATTAAGACATCGTTGCTTAGGCATCTGAAGAAGTACGGACGGTAAGTTCTAAAGGCTGTAAAAAAAACTTACGCTATAAATTATCTCCAGCTAAATAGGATGACGATAAACATTTCAACAATGTTTGAAATGCATTCGAACATGAATCCTTTTGCTATTATTGTTTGTAATTTTTTTTTTTTTGTTGAAAACTTTTTAAATGTCCTCATTCATGTTCAAATTTTTAGAAATATCAATATTGGTAGCTATCAGACATCAAAAATCTTTTGTTTAAACATGTCCAGAACTTTTATATAAGATTGCCAAGTTTTGCTCATATTGATCAAGTAAAAAAATATTCTAATATATTTAAATTTAATTAATTGATTGAATTCGTTCACTCTTTAGGTTTACTCTCATTTATATAAGAAAAGGATACATAAAGAAAGGTTGAAATACATATATTGATGTGTGAAACACTCCGGAAAAGTTTTCCTTTATCGAGCCGTCCGATCTCTCTTGTCATACCACCCTCTTTCCCTCTATTCAATTGCATTATTTTCTTTCACTTCACCTATTTCCACTGTAACTGTCTCGAGGCAAATGGATGACGCCAAGTTGTTGGTCATCGGACCAAAATTTCGTCAAGATATTGATACCCTTCTGGCTAATGCATCTAAGACTATTACTAACAAGCTTTACGTTCGAGTAGCTGCTGAATTGGATCTTCTCAAGGTTTGATTTGAAATTAAATTCGTTGTCAACAAAACACATTAATATTCGGATGATATCAGTTGGGTTTGCTTTCTGATAAATACGCAACTAGTTGTATGACCAATTGATTCTTCCAATAGAAAGTAGGCATTGATATGAATTGTTCATTAATTTAAAATCTATCATTCAAGCATATGATTTGACCATAATTTTCTGATTTTTACTTGTAAAATTTGTTAAAATTTGACAAATAATTTCAGGTTTTATCGGAAGTTTATATAAAAGGATCGAGAATATGCGATACGTTGGATATCCGAGTAATTGTTGATGATAGTCAAGAAAGAACATTCAAAACAATTATTGGCGATGATAAAACCATTAAATGTAATCGAATAATTGATAAACCGTACAGCGCTGTTGTACTTGGTGGCACATTTGATCACTTGCATAATGGTCACAAAATGCTTCTATCGAGAGCTGTAATGGCAGCATCGGAACGTGTAGTATGCGGTATTACTTGTGGTGATATGATTAAAAGTAAGATTTCACTGAATAGATTTCGTTTGCACTGCAAAATCTAGGATAATTCAAATGTTAATTTTGAATATGCAAGCCTCAGATGTGTTAATTTTGATATGCAAGCCTTAATGTTAATTTTAATATGCGAGCCTATAGTGATTTTGCACAATTCCTTTCTGTTGTAAGTGCGAACCTTCGATGGTAGAATGGTGATATCTATTAAAATATGAATGGAAAGATATTTTTCATAAAAATTTTATCCTGAGCGAAGGAAAGATTCTAATAATTTTCTGATAATCTGCTAAATACTTCAGAAAAACTGTTGTGGGAGTTAATGGAACCGTTTGAAAAAAGAGCAAAAGCTGTGCAAGAATTCGTAGAAGATATTAGCTGCAGTGTTCGTTGTGAAGTACATCCCATAATGGATCCGTATGGCCCATCAATCGTTGATCCAGATTTGAAGGCAATAGTAGTTAGTAATGAAACGGAGAAAGGTGGTCATGCAGTTAATGATAGGAGGAAAGTAAGTTTTCATTTATTTATCAGAATTTAGGAGGTCTTTGTTCAAAATGACTATTGTTTTATGATAAGATAGTAGCATTGCAGATTCGTAGTAAATTAATATAAAAAACAATTTGTTCTTTTTCTTAGGACATATTATTGTCCCGATCATATGATACTTTATTCCACTTTTCTTTTGTTTAAAAGGAAAACACTTTATTTCCTTCATGTACGATATTTCAGGAAAGAAATCTTCCAATTCTTGATTTAATAAAAATAAACTTAATCGATGGAAAGGATGAATTAATGGGGGAATATAAGTTGAGTTCATCTACGCGACGTCGAGCATTACTGGGAATGTTTCTCAGGCCACTGAAATTGGAAGAATTTCCTCGACCATTTGTTATTGGTTTAACTGGTGGTATTGCATCTGGAAAAACGAACGCAGCAAATTTCCTTTCTGAAAATGGTTGTGAGGTATATGATATAAGAATCAGTCTAAATGTACTGACGCGCAGTCAGGCGCACTTATTACTCTTTGACAAAAAATCATATATTTTATTTATATAGAATCACTTTTATAAACATTGATTTATATTTCAGAATATTGTGATCCACTGAACACCTTTGGATATTGTAAAACTTTTTTTTTCATATCAGCAGCTACGCTTAGGGCATTTGTTGAGGTGCAATTCCCGAAAAAATGAGACTTGTGTATGTAAGCAACATTTGCGTAGGTTTATTTTTGATTCAACTGGTATTATTTTATGATTTTTTGTTGTTTAAGGACTTTTGCAGGTGATAAATTGTGATAAATTAGCTCATGCACTTTACGAAAAAGGAACTGTTATGGCAACCAATATTGCTGCAACATTTGGCGATCATATAGTGCAAGACGGTATGGTTGACAGAAAAAAATTAGGAACGATCGTTTTCGCTGATAAAGTAGGCCCTCCTTCACTCTGATAGAAAAGTCAGCGTTACCTTCACGTTGTTTGGTCGATTCATCACAGTTAGCGAAAGCTTAATATCCGCACTAGAGAGCAGCACCTAGTACGGATATTAAGCTTGTGACCTTCGTTTCCAAGAATTACGTAATTCTTAGAAAACCGTGTCCTATCCTATAATTTTCCAGGAAAAACTTAGAATGTTGAATGACATCGTTTGGCCATCTCTAAAGAATAAAATCAAAGAAATCATTGCACAGAGCAAAGCTGAATTTGTTGTTGTTGATGCGGCAATACTTTTGGATGCAGGCTGGGACAATGATGGGATAGTACATCAAGTATGGAGCTGTATAATACCTCCAAATATTGCTAAGGAGCGTGCTATGGAACGAGATCATATTACAGCCGAAGAGGTAATTTTCGGGTAATTTGCACACATAATTTTATGAAGACTTTTCTCGCATAATTACTGCTGTTTGTGGAGAAACTGTTATATACCGAAATTCCGAAGTGCACAGATGTTGATTCATCCTTTTTATGAATCACGAAACAAAATGTGTGGGATGTATATTACAGTGAAGTAAAGTTCACCAACTTATAGTTACAAAAATAATATTTAGATAAAAATCATCAGTGAACAACATTTCTGATGCTACATTCATAAAAAGCATATAAAATACCAGTCAAGACAGAACTAATAATCACATGACATACCACATGACATTCATTATACACTTCATACGCTTCATTTCAGTTGACTCGCCTTTTACATTCCTGCAACTCTAATTTTTTGAAACCGCTAACCATTTTTGTCTTTTATTTCTACTTCCTACATATCTTAATCAATAGCTCATATGTTATTCAGACCTTATTTTTCAACTTCATACTAATTTCATGAGAGGAGTCACCGATCTGGAATCTCTTCTAGGCCGTATGTTTCATATGGTGTGTTTGCGGAGTCTTTAAAGAGATCCACAATGATTTTTTATAGGCAGAAGAGCGAATCCATTCACAAATGAGTAATTTGGAACGTGTAAAACGAAGTGATGTTGTGATCTGTTCACTTTGGACATATGGAGAGACGAGAAGGCAACTACTTATGGCTTTGTCCGCGCTGCGTTCATTTGCTAGTCAGCATCCTCGGAAATATAATTCTGCCATTGCTTGAGCCTTTCTGCTCTCTGTTCTTCAGTTTCTACTCTGAAATAAGACAATGAGATGGACAAAATAAGTGGACGATATGAAGATATCTGATAAGCCATATGGATTACTGTAACTTTATTACTTGCCTCACTTCATGATACAATGAAAGCGAAATGATTCACCATGTAAAGTACTTTTACCGACAGGTAAAGAAAATTCTGTACTGTTTTATGTTATAGATTTCCAACTGCATGCAAATATTTGTAAAAGAAAGAAGAGAAAGTAATATCTTCTAAAATTTCTCAATCAAATCTTACACTGTGTATTTCGTCTTTCCATCCCACAATGATACTGAAATTTGTCGACCATCTACTATGCGACCATTGAGTGAACGCACAGCTGTATCCGAATGCTCGACATTTTGGAATGTAACACAAATTACACCTTCTGGATTATTCTGAAATAAAAGTTGCTATTTAGTTTTAAGCCTGGAGTTGCACTCCAGATTAACTGTAAGTTACACAAACGAAAACGGTTGAGTTAGATTTGACCAAGTTAATCTGACTAGTTATATTCTTTACCGATAAATTTTCCACTTAAGGTCATGCTATAACTATGAATTTATGATGAGCCTGCCACCTTAGGCGAATATAAGCAGTTATAATGGCAAATGGACGCATAAGTAGAAATTTATGGCAAATTTACATCATGAACGACGACTTTTTTGACAGTTCCAAATCTCTCGCAAACTTTTCTAACCTCTTCTTCCAAATCCAGCAATAAAGTTGCGTTCTTCTGCAAAACAAAAAATTAGCCTTCATAAAGAAGGATGAAAATATTATGCTAGAAATTATCAGCCGACTTCTGACAAAAACAAACCATCATTTGCTCTAATGTGAACATGTTTTTCAAAACAATTGTGCAGTCACTGATTGGACGATAGTTTCGTGGTTTTTCCGGTTTCCACTCGAAAATTCTAGAATTACACATGTTCAATTCGCCGCTGTCTTATTTAGAATTTTTTATATTTATCAACAATGACTACCTCTCCTGATTTTCAATAAAACGCTTCTTCTGAGCTGCTGTGAGCTTCTTTTTCTTTTTTGATGGGTCGAATTCTCCTTTCATTTGAAACTTCGCTTTCTCGACTGAGATAATTTTTCCATCCACATTCCAGCCATCGAGAATATCCAAGGCCATGATGACTGATTCTTTCTGAAAAATTTAAGTATATGTCTGGACATATTTTTAACAAAGTTAAAGTAGATCACCACTTACTTTTATATAGCAGCATCTGCCATCTCCTTTAAACGTGCCGTCATCATTTCTGTACAGTTTTATTTTTAGTTTGTTAGTCCTCGCATCTTTTTGTATGACACCACATTTGCTCATTAACTCCTAAATTATCCCAACATCAGTTCTATCATTTGTTTTTAAGATCTGATCTTATTAATTGTTTTTCAGGTAACGAACCTGATGAAAGATCTAACTGTAATTTCGTAAAAATTGAAAACAGAATACTAACATAATTTAAACTCACAGTAAATGACTCTTCAGTTATACTGAATGGCAGATTTGAAACATAGACTGAAGTATTCTTTTCTTCTTCAAGTTCTACCCAACCTGAAAAATCCTATTATATGAACTTAAAAACCACAAAAGAAAAAGAAATGCTTATAACCTTGCTGTTCCTTTTTGTCCTGCAATTTGTGCTTCACAGGTTTATGACTTTCAGATTTTTCATTTCTTCCTTCCATGCTTGATCCTTCTTTTTCGCCAAAATCATATTTGATACCGTAATTACTGTGATACTGGGCCAAAAAGTCTTCGTTTACCTATGGCAGAGCTGACATAACGGTAAATAATTAATGAAGAATTTGGTTTTCTCTTCAAATTCTTCCTCGAATTTATCTAAAACTTATCACCGAATATGAAGAATAATATGTGAAGATGGTTTCGAATTTGAAAATTTCATACTTTTTACAAGTTGGACAAAACCAGCAATATTTTTGTATAAGCGTATTTTGTTAATTTTAAACATATACTTCTACTGTTGGTAACCACTGTTGACTGATCTGATTCCACTCCATAGTAATACCATCAACAACACACCGATACGGATTACCACTCATCTCGCTAATCATACCAGCCGTATCCCATTTTTTCTTCAAATCATCGCCATTAACTGCGATCCATTCATTCTCCTCAAACACTAAAAAACCACCGTTACCATCCTCGCAAAACCATTTTCCATCGATGAATTTTCTTTCCGGTTCTGAAATTTAAACTATAACTATCGATGAGCTGATTATAATTTTCATGTATTTTTTTTAAAATTTAAATCAAACATGAGGTCCTTTTTTTCGCGTAATTCTTTTTCTCTACCTACCTTATTCAATAGTTGGAAGTACTGAAAATGTCAGAAAAGCTAAAAACTAAGAATTTGCTCATACAAAGAAATTTGATAAAACATACAGCATTAGATTACTTGTACAGCACTTCGAAAGTATAATGAAGTAGCAAGCCTTACCGGTTTGAGTCACAGATACATCATTACTTTCTGAAGTGTTTGCCATATTCACTGTGCTGCAACAATCATTTTCCTCGGTCATACCACTCACCTCAATTATGATCACTTTTTAGACTAAAAATTTGCATAATTCAATCAAATCATAAAATAATGCTCATCAATGAGTAGCAGCTGACATTTTTCTAAGCTAATTAACTAATCTTTATCTATTTTTTAACACAAAATTTTAAAATTTAGATCAAACATAAAGTACTTTCTCCGAAAAGATTGACCTACTATTTCCATTACTATTTATACTGCGATAAGCTCTTGACCCCATGAAACAACTAAATCTAAGTTTAACTCTAATAAGTTTAATTGCATATAGATAGCATTGCACGTTAAGATTGTTCTTTTTTTTGACAGGCTAACAAAGCCCGTTCCGATATATCCTTGGCCTATTTTAGCTATTTTTTTCAATGGTCTGAAAGCCACTGAATATATTTTTAGTAAATTAAATGCACATAATCGCATAATTTTACTCAAAAAATGTATACTTTAACAAGTCTGAAAATATCTCGAGAGTGCATTGTGTCAACAAGTATAACACCACTCCTAAACGCATAAACACACCAATATTAAAATAAACCATCAACCGTTCCATATTCACCATTCCCGCAATCCGCGAAATACCAATGAGATGATGTGCTTCCGTCGTCTCTCCCTCTCTCTCTCTCCCTGTTTCTGTCCCTCTCTCTGTCAATGTATGGAAAAATTATATATAACGATAACTTAAATAATTGGTATAAATTATGTGGTGTGTGGTGCATCCCGAGATAAGTGATCGAGACTACTTGGACTACGATTCAATTGATACTATCATCAAGAAATACAACTACTGCGTAGAAGTCATCGATATATCTGTTAAATTCAAGGTGTCACATTCATTCCTCAAATTTCACGACACGTTTTCTTGAACTGTTTAATTCAATAAATACGAAGGATGTCATAGATTACAACCTTTCTAAGATTCGGAACGGAAGAAAGTATTATTAAATGACCTCAAACGCAGAAACATTCCATTTACTCTCGATCAGTGTCATGCATTGAATCGAATAAAAATCTAAATTTTTCAATGAAAATTTATCGATATATGGAAAAATTATACATAACAATAACTTAAATAAATGATGTAAATTTTTTCATCTGCAAACAATGTTGATGTGTTTTCGTTTGAAACTCGAGAATTCCTTCGATTGATCCATCAGTATTAAATATTAATCGAAATCCCCCTATACTTATAAACGTAAATATATAAATACTGAACCGCTGATTGGCTCCAAGCTAAAGGAAGTATTATTGAATGAGGCCGAACAAGAAACGGAGTACTGTTAAAAGTAAGCACGAGACTGAAATGAAGTGCTGTTATTGAATGATCTCAAATTTAAACCAAAGCTATTCATCTATTTCACTCCATTAATATTGTTATGTCCGGTGGAAATGAAACATTTAGGAGATAGTTGGAATCTCTCAATAATTACTTTTGTTTCGTTTCCGAATCCTTGCATTGACTCTAGAGAATTATGATGTAGAAGATGACGAACAATAAAATTTGATGAATATCCTTTAATGAAGAACTGCTGGCAATAATACTCATCAATGCATTCTTAGTAGTGAAAAAATTGAAGTAGCTGGATTAAATGATGTAAATGTGAATTTTTGTTTAAAAAATAAGAGAGTAGCGTATCAATATTAGTAAAAAGTCACCGTACAGAGTTTTTAGCTGATTCAATTAAGTTAGATAGAATTATCAATCGAATAGAAAGAAGATTCTACGATAAAAATCCTCTTAGTGAAGAGTGAAAGAAAGCTTTTCCTTGTGGTTACATCCATCCACTTATACCTCTATTCCTGGAACCATATCACCATAATGTCTCATTTGCTTGCAGTAATGGCGCCAAGGTTATGTTTTTGCAAGACTTTATAGAAAATTAAATACCATATAAACTATAAGGCATATATGTGAGCAGCTCACAAAAGTGAAATATTTAACAATATTAAAAGACAACTGGATTTAATTCAGTAGGAAAATATTCAATTATAGAGCCTTGATTAATTCCGGAACAGCTTTGTGGAGGTCAGCTTTTAGTCCAATATCTGCGATCTGAAGAATACATCTTTTATTGCTTGCTGCAAGAAAGAAATACAATTACTGTGTTGAACGTTGACTTGGCCATGAATATAGGCTCGGCAAATATGCCGAGCCTATCTTCATGACTACTTTCATAAATTTCTATCCTACTGGAAAATTTACAAAACATTTCGTTTTAGGAAAAGAAATGGAGCAATCCTGTATTAAACAATTATTGGTAGTCAGATACAGATGAATTTTAATAAATGAAAATCAGGAAATCGAAATTTGCCACTTTGAAATAGTTACCTCGAAAATTGGAGCGTCTGGATCTTTATTTATAGCTACAATAATTTTGCTATCCTTCATTCCTGCTGTGTGTTGAATAGCACCACTAATACCAACTGCTATGTACAACTCCTGCGAATTTTCGAAAGTATAATTCTTTATTATAGAGAGAGTTAGCGAAAAAAGGGAAGAGACAACCTCCATTATACTTGGAAAATTTTGTTATATGTAAATAGTGAAGGCGGTAGTTCTGAAAGACAGAAGAGCTAATTAGCAGATGGATTATTGGAATTTCACTGTAATTTTGTAGGATCTAATCCAAATTGAGTATTGACTCACAAGGAAAATTTAATTATTTGGTCCCTATTTGATAACGTTATTTAAAACAAAAAGTTACCGGCGCAACAACTTTGCCCGTTTGTCCAATTTGCAATTCATTTGAAACGTAACCAGCATCAACTGCTGCGCGTGATGCACCCACTGCTGCTTTCAATTTATCAGCCAGTTCATAAATAATTTTAAAATTATCTGCTGAGCCGACACCACGACCTCCCGAAACTATCACTTTTGCACTTTGCAAGTCTGGTCGCTCTGATTTCAATAAATCTTCTGACAAAAATTCAACACCATCGAATGAAAAATCTGATTCCGGTGCTGAAAAAATTTTTAAAAATACATGAAATTTCCCTCTCCAAAAAAAGAAAAAAACATTCTGATTTCTTGCGCAAAAGTAAACATCCTAGTTGCCACCATTTTTCTAAAATCCCTGTTGTCGAAGGTGAATTGAACAACATTATAGGAAAAGCTATTTACATGAATTACAAAATAGAATTGGCACTTTGTACATACCTTTTTCAATTTTGCCATTACCACCGGATTCTTTGGCTGATTTGAATGCCGTTCCTCGGAAAGTCAAGAACTTTACCGGAGCATTAGTTTTTACCTGGAAGTGATATGATCGTAAAAATGTATACTAGTAAAAATAAAATAATTCATATAGCATTTTAAATAAATTTTATATTCATACAATCATTCAATGGCTTCAGTGATTAAATCAGAAGAAAAAGCTCTACCTTACATAAGGCATTGCCAGCATAAATAGGTCGCGTGAAAGTATCACTACTGTGAATAGCAATGATATCGGTGATAGGAGCAGAATCGAATTGAGCGGCCACTCTTGGCAGTACATCGCGACCAAATGTTGAAGCTCCTGCTACTATATAATCGAATTTGCATTGTTTTTGAAGTGTTTCCACAGTCTTCGCAACATATTCTGAGAAAGGCTTTTCAGTAGATCAAAAAAACCTGAAGTCTTATCAAATATAAGTAAATTTGGAACAAATAAACAAAGCAACCTGGAAGCTGATGCTTCAGTTTTTCATGATCCGCAATAAATACTCGTTTAACTTGCTCCACTTTTGCTATCTACAACAGTTAATTTAAATCAGTAACCAAAAAAATAAGATAAGCATTTTCAATCCATCTCAATTTATAGAACAATCACTCGGGTTACCTCTTAGAAAACCTACACAAACGTTTCATATTTTCGTTTTCCCACTAGGCACGAACTTATTTAACTCGATCACTAAATGGATAAAATATTTTGGAATGCTCCATAATTCATTAATGTCGTAGTAATTACATAAGCTTAAGTTATATAAATGCTACGTGCTGTTTACATAATGTCAAGCTCTTCGTACCGAAAAATTTGTTTACTTGCCAATCAACAAAATTACGTTGAAACAGATAAAAATGATTACTTTAAAGAATTAACCACCTGTTCAGCAACGTTAGTGATATTGGTACCAGCAACAAGTACCGAAATTTCACCTAAATTTGAAGCAGCGTTAACAGCCTTTAATGTTATCGGATTGAGCTTGTCACCGGCATGTTCGGCTAGCACCAATGTACTCGTGAATCGGAGAGCTGTTTGCTGAAAAAAAAACTGAAATCTTGTGCCGAACCATTCTAAATCTTGCAATTAAGAAAGTACTCTGAAAAAAAGTTTTGATTTTTCAGAGAATCTTTGAAGCGGTCTTTATGAGCATCACTTGGCTATGTCATCAAGTAATTCGAAATGGAGAAATTTCAGAGCTTCCTTCTCCATAAAGTATGAACAATTTTCCATTTGTGTTATTATTCGAAATGTGCAAAGAGGATGAATGAAATAATGAAAATCTAATATATATTTTGACTTAATGGATGCTGAACTTAACAATTACCTAACAGTGCTGAACGTTCTCACGTATCCCGGACAATGAGAAGAGTGAAAGAGTATATTTACGGATTCGTTGTAAAAACTGACAAATATATCTATATTAGACAAATTTTCTTGGTTTAAATTTGGCTATTAAAATTTCGAGGAAACAAGATTCTTTGATTTTGATCCTCATCTCTTTCGCTGATATCATAGTTTACTTCTTGAAAATAAAAAATAAATTTAAATCAAGAAAATTTCACAAACTAAAATTCTTCGGAGTCAAAAATTCTCGATCAATTTGCTCTAAAATTAGTTACAAAATTAAATATCTCGCAGGTCTCAGTCTCATAGGCTAATTCAAAGTACCATGATATTAGCTCATCGTAAACTTCCCACCTTGTGTATTTTATTAGTAATCATTTTAAGTCATCGATAATATATTTATTATCATACCATCAAGTCGAAAGTTGAAATTTTCTATGAGATTTTTTTCTTGAGAAAATTTACACTGTTACATATTTTAAATTTTTGAAAAAAAAAGAGAACAATGAATGGAAGTAAATTAAAATAAAGCCAAATAATTAAACTTACGAGAATATCATGCCTTTTTGATAGATGATTTGAGAAGAATCGTATTCCATTCATCACCTTTCTCTGCTCCTCCGGTAAATAGCTTTCAGGAAATTTATGACAATTTGAAAACAGAAGATGACGACGAATGAACAATCATTCTAGTCCTGTCCCTATCAGATGGCAGACGGAGAATACAACATGATGTGGAGAGAGTCCAAAGTGCAAAGTTCACCGGTTCACGGGTATTCGTAGAAATGGAATGAACCGATTGATGAGATATGGTGAATATCGTTGACATACAGCGCTTGGCAAAGTACTGCATCATTCTTTGTTCGCCCGTCCGCCTTATACCGATGCAATCAATGGGCCGGGAAGAACAATTGGCCTGACTTGACTGATTTCAGGACTAATAAGCTTAGTTGGTTCTAGATCCAGGATGAAGAGGATGATAATAGACTTGGCTGATTCTCCACTCTAGAGAGTGGCCAATTTGGCTCACTTTAGATTAACACAACTGCACAACGTGTAACAGTATATTGATAATTTGATCAGAGCTTTCCGGAAAAGGAAGCCTTTATACGGGATCATTAGACGTTTTATACTTCTGTACCGCTCGGTGACTAATGATTAGGTTCCTTTTGATTAGGTACCTTTGAGGATTCATCCTTTTAAGCGATGATAGATAGAATAGTTGAATAGTGAAAAATCCAGTGAAGAATAGCTCAGCCGATAATGAATTTCCTAGAAAATCATCGTTAACATAATAAAAGCCAAATAACTGCTTCATATGTAGAAAAATTTCATGCTTGTCAATAGGAAAAAATTTTTAATATTATTGGATAATTTGGAGTTATTGAGTAGTGAGCGGAAATCGCCAGTAATTTCAAATGTTCAATATTTTTATGATAAAGGTTGTTATTGAAACCAAAAGGTAAATTAGCAACACAGTATTTCATCCAAATTATTGCAAGAATCGCCTCTTCATCGTATAATAGTACTTCCAGAATTATTCTCGTATACGGGATTTATATGATGAAGAAATAATTCTTTGCAATAGTTTAGATGAAACATTATGTGGCAGAGATGGTTGATAGATTAACCTTAAAAATCAAGGGAATGAGGTCCTCAACTTTAGAATTCCAGAGTTCTAATTCAGATTAGTATGCAAATCATTTATTTCATTACTTCTTGAATCCTCTTGATTCGGTGATAGCAAAATTTTAGCATACAAAACTTTCCTGAGGACAATCCAACAACATCTATACAAATTTATGTGTGTTTCAAAAAAAAAAAAACCATTGAATATTCTTTATTGCGCATACAATACAGCATATCAAAAATTTAAACCTATCGGAAATTTTGCAAAAAAAAAAAAACGAAAAACTAAACAGCCTAACTTGAAAAACGGAGAAGAAAAAGATAAGAAACGATACATTGATTGCGGAAAATGTTACAGAGAAAAAAACAAAAACTCAATTTATATTTTGTTAATTATTTCAGGAAAGAAGAAAATATTATCTCTGTAACATAAAAGTATCGTTTTGTTGCACGGACCAATAAATTGCTGCAATACGCAAAGATAAAATAACAAAAATAAATGGGATTAAATGAAATAATGATAAAACAAAGCAAGCAAAAATGAGTACATGATATTGTCAAATGAAATATAAAATAATTAAGTTAAATTCTTTTTTCCCTTCTTTTTCAAAGATTTACAATTGAATGAATAATCGACAAATCTATAAAGGTAAATCATACGTATATTTTATTCATATAGGCAGAGAACTTAGCAAATAGCATGAGCTACACATTACTAATGAATTAAATGAATTGAAAAAGAAAAAAAAAACATGAACTGAATTGTAATTGAATTGGAAATAAAAATTTTTTAAATTAACTATATAATTTTCTTGCTACTGAATCACGAGATTATATTTATTACAAACGTTTAAGTCTTCATTTGGAGAGCTCGTAAAATCCCTTACTTTTTTTCTTTTAAGAAAAAAATGTATGAAAAATATATAGTTAAATATATGTTGAGAAAAAAACACCACATGAAGAATAAATATTTATAAATAAAGAGAAGTATTCTAACACTTCAAAAATGAATAATGAAGCGAAAGAGATGCTTTGAATGTATGTATATGTATGTTGGTTTGGAGTGAAAGTTTTGAATGCTTTAAGGTAGAACTTCAGCAAGCAAATAAAAATGTTGAATATGATGAATGCTCCAAAAGCAATATTCTGGCTTAATTTTGGAAATTGTGAAAAGGTAACAGACGAGAAATCGTGAAAAATGTACCAAAATTTATTTCTCTAAAATTTTTGTGTTTTTTAGCATCCTTTAAGGGAAAAGATGAATACTCAAGACATCTCCACAAAATATCTTAAAACTTACAATTTGTGATATATCGGTAATTAATGTGGACATAAAGATTATGAATTTTTTTAGAGATGAAACCGTAACTGGTAAGGAAAATTTTTGGAAATTAAGAGACGGTTACAATTCAATATCAAATAAGTTGCCATACAAGTATACATTGTTTGATAAAATGATTTCAGAATTTATCGCTGCTGTTTGTTAATTTTGCCACTATTGCAAATACGGGCCAAAAATACATAATGCATAAAACAAGAAATATAGATGAATAAATCCTATATAACTTAATTATAAATTCAACAAATATGTTGAGAGAAAAAAAATAAAACAAATTTTGCATTAGCACTCCTAATTTGCAAACATCAGAGCAAAATATGCAGCACAAATTCAATCAGCAGATGTTTCAGAACAACCTTTACTTCTGATTCGCGATGCAACTGCCGCTACTAGCGCTGCTCCACGACCGCTTCCATCTTCTGAGAGCATCAATTGATACTGCAAAAGAACTTCAATTTGTACAAAGGATCGAAATATAACGATGGTTTAGGGATGCAAATTTCGTCCAGCAGCAAAAGCCAAAATTTTTTAAAATCACAACTTTATCCTTTCCTTGCCTTTTTTTCCTCGAAATTTTTTCCTCACTTACCATATTATAGTTAAAAGCTTACAGAAATGAAAGTTGCGAATTTTTTGTTATTAATAATCGTGTCCAAATCATAGCAATATGTTATTTCGTTCTCGAAGAAGAAAATATACAAATGAAGCTACCTTCAAATTTTTATCAATCAAGTGCTGTATTTTCTCATCAAGCATGCGAGGAAAAGTGGGATGAAATCGATACACTGAACCGTCAACACCAACTGTCACGTATGATTTTTGCATTCGATTAAGTAATGTTGCTATGCCGGCAGCACATAAGTATGCAGCTCTGAAACATCCTTTTTCTCTTTAACAGTATACTGTGAAAAATTACATGAATAAATTGCAAAAAATCCATTATTCAAAAAACCCATTATTGTTAATTCATATTCTTTTAAAGTGTAATTTCAATGTAAATAGAATTATTTCTAACTTTAAGATGAAGATGGAAGCAATTTATAATTTACCGTGTACTAACAAGAGAGCATACATATGCAACATTAATGCAATCAGCAACTGATACTTGTTCGGTTCCAATTTCTTCCAAAATTTGCATTGTTTTTGAGAAATTTCGCTCTTCATCTTCCAAAATTTCTCTAAAATAGAATACCCACGTACAAACGCTAAATAACAATCAAAGATTTATTATTTTTTTAAAATGATTTTGAATTAGTTATGACTCACATAGAGGAAAAGTATATTTGAACTTATAAATTTACAGGTTTAATGTAACCATGGTCGCGGAGTTAGGCATTCCTAGTTAGTCACATCAAAAAAATTACAAATTTTCTGTACGAATATATATTTTAAATTTTCGATTTCTTGGAAATTAATCAATACAAGCATACTTTTCAACTTCAGAAACAAATTTAGTCGGGAATGAATGCGGCTTTGAAATGGGTTCGTAATCGCCGTTAAAAAGAAGATTCTCGCGTGCCAAATGAGCTAGAATGACACGAACAATTTCGCCCATATACATACCCGAGATCATTTTCTCGAATCTGCAAATCTCAATTATTAACTAATGAAGCTTCTTCTTTTTTTTTATACCGATAAGTTAACCGTTACTTGCAGAACAGGTCACAACGTATCAAACAAAGCCTGCCTGCTTTTCATGCAAAAAATGCTGAAAATGTTGAAAGAAAAATTTTTTCAGTATGAAATTCCAATCCACATAAAAAATGTTCCTTGAAAAGGCAAAAAAAAATAAAATTCCTTTTTTTTTGAATTTCAATTTCTTTTTTTTTTGAAAATTTATTAGTGCTGTGACCAAGATTCTGCAGTTCCTTACCGGCCTTCACTGCTTTTTTGGCAACTCACAGAGTACCGAAAAGAAGTAATCAAGCAGTGTGTGTATATGTGTATGTGTGCGTTTAAAGCAACTCGCAGCCAGAAAAATTTTGCAGCGGCGTCAATTGATAGTAGTGCTTTTGCCCGTAGAATCACATAAATACAGGCTTCCAAAACACCGCCGCTGCAGTGAGCCTGACTAACTGCAAGTCCACTAAGCACAAGCTCCTGTAATGTACGCCGAAAAACATTTTGGAATTGAAAACCCTAACTAAAAAAGACACTCTTTTCAGGCTATGCATTTTACTCGATAGGATCCAATAGAAATGTAATATTCCTTCGATTGGAAGTAGTCCATAATTAAGATACAGTATTGCTCCAATATATCGTCAGAAAGTTTGAAAAGTATTTTGTAACCTTAACTAAATGTAACATTATTTTTCATAGAGAAAGAGAGAGGGAAAGAGTGAAAAAGAAAGAGAAAGAGAGAGATGGTGACAAGTGATAGGATAACGCGTTGCTTCAATAAATTGTATTATAAGTGACAAAAAGTGACAATACCTTTGTTAGAGAGACAATCCATAAACTGATTGTATATATATATATATATATATATATATATAGTCGAATGAATCTCATTAAAGACAAAAGTCAAAACCTACTGATAAGAATTATTTTTCGAAACTTATATGCATATAACTGTTTTTCTTGCTTGCAATAAAGGACAAAAAACAGCGAATAAGTCTTACAATTGCTTTCCAGGATTGATCGTTTTCTCGTCCACTTCTCGATCGAAACGAGTACGGACAAATTCCAAGGCACCATCATCTCCAAATGCTCCCCATTCAGTATTGATGATCATCTAAAATTAAGCAACTATAACAATTTCATTCTTTAAATTAGTTTTTGAATGTTTTTTGAAATGAATTTCTTCATGACATCTCATATAATTTCCTTTTTTTCTTCGATAAAAAAATTATTACTCTAAATATGAAATAAGAAACAATGTAATTAAAATACCTCATTTGGCATGTCATCTTCTTCTAGAAGTAAGTGCTTGATTTTATCGCAATTTTCAATTTTCTCCATATAACATGCATTGCTGCCTGTACCAACGATAACACCAATTTGACACGTGTTCTCTTTGAATGCGCAAGCCATCAACGTACCAACTGTATCATTTAGAACAGCTACCACATCGATGTCAATATCCTGAAAAGTCAAGGTTAAATATAATTCTTACAGT